GGCGAACAAAACTCTGGACGCGTTTTGAGCTCCAGAGGCGCTAAACAGGACTCGAACCGAACGTGTGACGACACCAATGGATTGCTCTCCGAACGAGCAATCCATTGGTGGGGTCACACGTTCGGTTCGAGCCCCACTTAGCGACTCTGGAGCTCAAAACGCGTCCAGAGTTTTGGCCGCCTTCACCGGTCTTCTGGCCCACTGTGCGTCGCCGCGATTGGCTCCCCGCAGCGGGGCCGCCGAATTGCGATTCGACTGGCGATTGCCGACTCTCGCACGATCATTGCGGCGCTCGGGCACACCGTCAAAAGTCCGTGGCGGTTCGGGGGAAAAGGGAGTTTTTTCAACCAAATAATTTTTCTTTCTAAAATTATTGAATTTTTTCTTTACGAGGAGGGATATTTTTCTTTTGCGGACAGTCTTTAACCCAAATAACTCGCAGTGCACTGCATGAGCCTCCGCCGGCACGTTCGACCCGTGCAGACAAAACGCTACGAGTCGAAGCCCCCAGCACGGCCCAGCACGGCGACTCCGAAGAGTCGTTTCGTCGCGAGCGGAGCGGCGCAGCACCGCCCCACAGTGGGCCGGAAGACCGGTGGAGGCGGCCAAAACTCTAGACGCATTTTGAGCTCCAGAGTCGCTGAATGGGACTCGAACCGAACGTGTGACCCCACCAATGGATTCCTCGTTCGGAGAGCTATCCATTGGTGGGGTCACACGTTCGGTTCGAGTCCTGTTTACCGACTCTGGAGCTCGAAACGCGTCTAGAGTTTCGGCCGCCTCCACCGGTCTTCTGGCCCACTGCGCGCCCCTCCTCCGGGACCCCATGAGTGCGACGGAGACAGTCTGCCGGCCCCGGCATGGCCCCGGCCGGCCGCTCACTGCTCCCCCAGGAAGAATAACCGACTTAACTTATGCTCACGTCAATGTTTCCAAATGCCTCTTTACGGACCGGACCGGGGGGCCGGTACTCTGTAACAGTGTAGGCCATTATTTAACGCGGACAGCCTCGGCGTGTCCGCGCACTTGTTGCGCCGAGCAGCGCCTCGCGGAGAGAGGGAGGGGGAGAGAGAGAGAGAGAGAGAGAGAGAGAGAGAGAGAGAGAGAGAGAGAGAGAGGGACTGGTGCATCGTGGAGGGGCCCGCCTGCGAGGTAGGCCACCGTGCGCGCTGCGACGCATGGGTGCGCGGCGCGTTGCCTACCCGCTCGTTCGCAGGCGCTTCACTCCGAGCCGCCGCACAGTGGGCGCGGCCAAAACTCTAGGCGCGTTTTAGAGCTCCAGAGTCGCTAAATGGGACTCGAACCGAACGTGTGACCCCACCAATGGATTGCTCTCCGAACGAGCAATCCATTGGTGGGGTCACACGCTCGGTTCGAGTCCCATTTAGCGACTCTGGAGCTCGAAACGCGTCTGGAGTTTTGGCCGGCTGCACCGGTCTGGCCCACTGTGCGGTGCCCTGGCGCTCGAGGGACTGCCCCGCCGACATTGAGACGGAGGACCTCGGCCGCCTCCTGGGCGTGCAGGCCGAGGACCTGCCCGACGGCCTGCCCCACCTCGGCCAGCGTCGCCAGCGCGCGGGTCCCCAGGCAGGCGGCGCCGCGGGCGTACTTACAGTGCCGGCGCGCAATTAAATAGTAAAAATGTCTGGCGAGGCTGTATTTTGGCAGCCGAGACGGCGCCACGGCGGTGTGCGTTGGCGAGGGAGGGCCGCCGGAGTGACGGCGTCTTGTTATTTTTAATTCCAGGCTGGAGGCAATGAGGGCGGAATGTTTGGCGAGGCGGGCCGGGCAGCATGGCCGAGGTGAACCGGCCGCCACACAGTGGGACAGAAAACCGATGGAGGCGGCCAAAATTGAGCTCCAGAGTCGTTAAGCAGGGCTCGAACCGGACGTGTGACCCCACCAATGGATCCCTCGTCCGGAGACCAATCCATTGGTGGGATCACCCGTTCGGTTCGAGCCCTGCTTAACGAATTTGGAGCTCAAAACGCGTCCAGAATTTTTGCCGCCCCAGCCCGCCTTCTGGCCCACTGTGCGCCAGTGGCTGTCCATTCAGTGCCCCGGCAGTCTGTCTCTCTCGCACTCATGGGGCGTCCCTTATTGGTGCGAGACAGACAGAGCGACGAAAACGACTCACTCGGCAATGGCAATGGGATGAAGCCGATTCCGGGCGAACAAAAGAAGGGGTTGTCCACGCCTATCCAGGGGCCGTCTGGCCGGCTCGCTGCCCTATTATTGTAATTTCAAAGCCCTCCAATAAAAGCTAACATTATGTCAACTAAGCGGCCTGTCTGTCTGTCTGTCCGTCCGTTGCGGTGTGTCGATGACTGACTGTCGCATGCGAAGCGACGCGGAGTCCCCAGCGGACAAGACACGAACGGGTGCTGGCTTGACACTGACGGAGGCGCTCCGCTCCAAGAAGTCCCTGCTCTGCTCCCGGCGCACAGTGGGCCAGAAGACCGGTGGAGACGGCCAAAACCCTAGACGCGTTTTGAGCTCCAGAGTCGCTAAATGGGACTCGAACCGAGCGTGTGACCCCCACCAATCGATTCCTCGTTCGGAGAGCAATCCATTGGTGGGGTCACACGCTCGGTTCGAGTCCCATTTAGCGACTGGAGCTCAAAACGCGCCTAGGGTTTTGGCCGCCTGTGGGGCGCACTGTGGGGCGGCCCCGGAAGGCAGCAGACTGAGCGTCGTTTTCGTCGCTCTGTCTCTCTCGCACTCGTGGGGCGTGCCGTACAGGTGCGAGAGAGACAGAGCGACGGAAACGACTCTCACCCTGCAGCGGCGAACGAGGAACAAGGAAGCCCACTCCGGCATCCGCTCCGAACAGAACACCGACGCCGGTACCGCGCCCGCTTCCATCTCTCTATTCTAAATTTGTTTCGTGCATCTTTCCCGCCCTGCAACCAGACACTGCGTCCTCGGCTTGAATTTCGGGACTCACTTTTTGAAACTTGCTTTGGTTCAAGTTACAACACCTACGCTTCGTCGGTTTTGTTTTTAAAAAAAACATGTTTCTGCACTGGAATTTTGCGTCCCCCTACAGCTTTTCGCCCGCTGTCGCTCGCCAAGAGAGAGAGGTGAAAACGAGTCCTCGCTAATTTGGCTTGATTTACTGCTCCGTAATGCGTCTGTCTCGCTTTCACTCTCGGGGACCGGCAGGCGGGCAGACAGACAGGCAGACAGACAGACAGACAGGCAGACAGACAGACAGACAGACAGACAGACAGACAGACAGACAGACAGACAGACAGACAGACAGACAGGCAGACAGACAGACAGACAGACAGACAGGCAGGCAGACAGACAGACAGACAGACAGTCAGACAGGCAGACAGACAGACAGACAGACAGACAGACAGACAGACAGACAGACAGACAGACAGGCAGACAGGCAGACAGACAGACAGACAGGCAGGCAGACCGACAGGCAGGCAGGCAGACCGACAGACAGGCAGGCAGACGGGCGGACGGGATCTCGGCTCCGCTCCCCGGGCTGGGCTGGGCCGGGCCGGGCAGGGCTGGGCGCCCCCAGGGAATGCCCTCGACAATGGTGTGGATGTCGATGGTTTCGGATAGAATTGCCACTTTGAGCGGCCGGCGAGAAAGCCGCGCGGAAAAAACGGAGGACCGGCCGAGCCGCACGGCCGCCATCCCCCGCAGATGATCACCCCCCATCGACTGCAGGCCGGGGGAGGGGCAGGGGGGACTCCGAAAAAAAGGGGCAGCATTCGCGAGGTCGCTTCATGCGCAGAGCAGCGCCAGAAGACCGGTGGAGGCGGCCGAAATTCTAGACGCGTTTTGAGCTCCAGAGTCACTGAGTGGGACTCGAACCGAACGTGTGACCCCACCAATGGATTGGTCTCCGAACGAGGAATCCATTGGTGGGGTCACACGTTCGGTTCGAGTCCTGTTTAGCGACTCTGGAGCTCAAAACGCTGTCCGGGCTTTTGGCCGCCTCCACCGGTCTGCTGGCCCACTGTGGGTCCTGAAGTTATCTGCGGCACTGTCTAACCCTGATTTCTCGGGCGAAACCATTTCTCGCACCAAGTTTACGGTTACCGTCGCCGCGGCTCGCAGGCGAGATGTAGGCCGCGGAGGTTGGCCGGCCCGGTGTGAGGCCGAAAATGTTGGCGCCAGAGGTTGGCAGTAAAGGCGCGGGTCGGGTCGTCAAGATGGGCATTGGCACTGCGACAGTGTTGCCGCGTTGGCAAACCTGCCCGGGCCTGCCGGCCTGCGGGGGCGGCGTGGCAGTGGCGTGGCAGTGGCGTGGCAGTGGCGTGGCAGTGGCGTGGCAGTGGCGTGGCAGTGGCGTGGCAGTGCCGTGGCAGTGGCGTGGCAGTGCCGTGGCGCTGCAGGGCGTTCGTCCTGCGATAAACTTTCCGCCATCACGTCATCTGGTGCCTCCATCTCAGCAACTTGAGTCGAGAGCCAGAAGTAATGCCGACGGAGAGAGAGAGAGAGAGAGAGAGAGAGAGAGAGAGAGAGAGAGAGAGCTTTAATGAGACGGTCTCCTCACACGGAGAAACGCTATAAAAAATGTACTAGTGGAGGGGAAAAAAGAAGCGAGCCTCGTTCGCCTGGTCGTCGTTTAGCAGGCGAGGCGGCCGAGGCGGGCCGGCGTCCTCCTCCCCTACGAGTCCCCCCTGCTCGAGCACCTGTCCTCCCCTCGGTGACATTTGAGGCGAGCGAGACCTACTTTCCGCGCCGGGCTCGGCTACACTGGATGAAGGAGTCCGTGGTCGCGGTGCATGCGTGCCAGCCGTCTGCATGTTGTTGCTGCTGCAGAATCAACGGCCGGTAAACAGGACTCGAACCGAACGTGTGACCCCACCAATGGATTGCTCTCCGAACGAGGAATCCATTGGTGGGGTCACACGTTCGGTTCGAGCCCCATTTAGCGACTCTGGAGCTCAAAACGCGTCTAGAGTTTCGGCCGCCTCCACCGGTCTTCCGGCCCACTGTCGCTAACCTCCTTGTTGTTGTTGTTGTTCCAGAAACACGGGCCGCGGTACAAGTGCGCGGCCTGCAAGATCGTGGCGCACCAGTCGTGCGTCCCGATCCTGCTGGACCGCCTCCGCTTCACCTGCAAGGCCACCTTCCGGGACGTGGGGGTGCGCGCCTACCGCGAGCAGGCCAGCACCGCCGTCACCCACCACTGGGTGCACCGCCGCAGCCAGAAGGGGAAGTGCCGCCAGTGTGGCAAGGTGGGCAGGGTACACCCGGGGTACACTACCAACAGAACAAAATTTAAAAGTTTTAAGAAAAGGCCTTTTGTACCGGAAGAAAGAGTGGGAATTTTGCCTGGCTGTGTAAGTTTATGTGAGAGGACGGGCGGGATTCTGGATTCTAAACTCCAGAGGGGCGCGCGGGACCCCCAGAGGGCTGCAGGGCAGCAACAGGAACCAGGTGGCCGCCCCGCCAGGCCCCGCCAGGTGCACATTCGTCTCGCGCACGCTGCACAGTGGGCCAGAAGACCGGCGGAGGCGGCCAAAACTCCCGACGCGTTTTGAGCTCCAGAGTCGCTAAACAGGACTCGAACCGAACGTGTGACCCCCACCAACGGATTGCTCTCCGAACGAGGAATCCATTGGTGGGGTCACACGTTCGGTTTTAGTCCCATTCAGCGACTCTGGAGCTGAAAACGCGTCTAGAGTTTTGGCCGCCTCCACCGGTCTTCTGGCCCACTGTGCGCTGGCAGTGTGAGCACTACGGCGCCACCACAGCGCGCGGCTCGGCCACCCGGTGTTGGCTCGCGACCCCAAGGCGACCCCTCAAGTGCGGCCGCCGCGGCCGGCCTCGCTAGGCCCTTAGGCGGTACCCCGCTGCACCGGTCGACCCGTCGGCGTGTGTGTGTGTGTGTGGGGGGGGGGGTTGAATAAAAGAAGGCCGACCGTTGGAAGGGAAGGGTGGAAGGCTTGAAGGAACCCCTCGGCAAACTGAGGGCCGGCGTTATTCAAGGGACTTGCAATTTGTGGGCATAATCACCGACCGGTGCTCCGTCCCTCTCGAACCCTCACGGCACGCCCCGTGAGTGCGAGAGGGACGGACTGCGCTCTCGCTTCGTTTCGAAAGTGCCGCCTCGCTTACGGACGGGCCCGCTCCCCGGGGCGAGGCTAGGCGAGGCGCGGCGACACAAAAAGGGTATCCGGTTCCCCTCCCCCTCCAAGCCGTCCCGGCCGTCTCGCGAGGACCTGTCCCTCGAAACAAACGGCCAATGAATAACTTGCAACGAAATTATGGTCCCACTTTTTCTTAATCCTCGCGCAACAAGGGGGGAAAAATGGACAAGGAGAAGTAAAGGAATTGTTGTTAGTTTTCTTATTACTAGGGTTCTCTGCTTGTCCCCAGTCGTTCCAGTCCAAGTTGTCGTTCAGCTCCAAGGAGATCGTCGCGCTGAGCTGCAGCTGGTGCAAGACGTCGTACCACAACAAGGAGGCCTGCTTCAACTTGACGCGCATCGGCGAGGAGTGCACCCTCGGTAAGGCCCACTGTAATGCTGCAAAGATAAAAGAGTGGCTCGGTTTGCTTTAATTTGGTCGAAGCCGCTTCTGGTTCGTGTCCTATCTAGCCTCAACACCCGGCACGCTCAATGCGACGGCTGTACAGTGGGCCAGAAGTCCGGTGGGGCCGGCCAAAACTCGAGACGCGTTTTGAGCTCCAGAGTCGCTAAATGGGACTCGAACCGAACGTGTGACCCCACCAATGGACTCCTCGTTCGGAGAGCAATCCATTGGTGGGGTTCACACGTTCGGTTCGAGTCCCATTTTGCGACTCTGAAGCTCAAAACGCGTCGCGGATTTCGGCCGCCTCCACCGGTCTTCTGGCCCACTGTGGGCTGGTGGAATGCGCTCGCTGGAGTGTACACTGGGGTGTGTGGGGTGTACAGTGCACACACGCGCTCTGCACACACGCGCGGCTCACGGCTCGCTTCGCGCCCGGGGTGTGTGTCGGAAGCCCCATCTTCTCTCATGGAAGCCCCAAGTCCCAGCAGGAGGGCTGCCGCGTCGCGCCACCGCGTCGCTCTGCCGCGTCGCGCGCTACCTGTCGCGCCAAATTGGCCGGGGAATTGACACATTTTCGCCCCCCTCCTGATTTTTCACCCCCGCCCCGTCCCCCCTACACTGGCCCCTCCAGCCCGTCTGCTTAGTGTCGAACCTGCCTTTTACATCGCGGGCGGGGGAGAGGGCGCGCTGGGCGTACACGTGTGTGTGTGTGTGTGTGTGTGTGTGTGTGTGTGTGTGTGTGTGTGTGTGTGTGTGTGTGTGTGTGTGAGAGAGAGAGAGAGAGAGAGAGAGAGGGAGAGAGTGTGTGTGGAGTTGGCGCATGGCGCTGGAAATGTCGGGGCTGTGTTTGCGTTGCCGGGCCGTTGCCGGGCCGTTGCCGGGCTGCCTCTGGATACACCGATACGCGTCTAACTCCCCTGCCGGCTCGGCTCGGCCATGGCTCGGCAGTCGCGAGCACCGCCCCCTCCTGGCCTGGCGTCGCTCCGTCTCTGTCGCACGCCGGCAGGACGCCCCGCGAGTGCGACAGAGACAGAGCGAGGGCCCTCCGGACGCAGCCGCCTGGATAAAAGGAGGGCTTATCTCCACATGCCGGTCGGTGGCGCGGCGTGGCGTGGCGGGGCGTGGCGGGGCGTGGCGGGGCGTGGCGGGGCGTGGCGGGGCGTGGCGGGGCGTGGCGTGGCGGGCGGGGCGGGGCGGGGCGTGGCGGGCGTGGCGGGGCGTGGCGTGGCGGGGCGCGGCGGGGCGCGGCGGGGCGTGGCGGGGCGTGGCGGGGCGTGGCGTGGCGGGCGGGGCGGGGCGGGGCGTGGCGGGGCGCGGCGGGGCGTGGCGTGGCGTGGCGGGGCGTGGCGTGGCGCGGCGTGGCGGGGACGCCGAGCAGGGCTTTAATTGGCGTGTTTGGGCCTCTGCTTCGGCAGGCTCCCACAAGAGCATCGTGGTGCCGCCGTCCTGGATCGTCAAGCTGCCCAGGAGGGGCAGCTTCAAGTCGAGCCTGCGCAAGTCCCCCAAGAAGAAGGGCTCCTCCAAAAAGAAGACCAAGGACAAGGTCGGCCCCAGCCCAAATATTTTTATTTATTTTTCATTATGGAAGGGGGTTGTATTCACTTTGGTGTTTGTTTGTTTTGGTCGCAGGCTGAGAAGGAACCGCGCGCGTTCGTGATCAAGCCCATCCCCACCGCCAACGTCAAGCCCGTGATCGTGTTCATCAACCCCAAGAGCGGCGGCAACCAGGGCACCAAGCTGCTGCAGAAGTTCCAGTGGCACCTCAACCCGCGCCAGGTGTTCGACCTCACGCAGGGCGGGCCCAAGATGGGGTGGGTTTGGCTTGCGAGACCTAACCTAACCTAACCTAACCTAACCTAACCTTGGAGGGCTGGTGTTGAACCCGCGACTGTTGCAGGCTGGAGCTGTTCCGCAAGGTGCCGAACCTGCGCGTGCTGGCGTGCGGCGGCGACGGCACGGTGGGCTGGGTGCTGTCCGTGCTGGACCAGCTCGCCTTCCACCCGCCGCCCGCCGTGGGGGTGCTGCCCCTGGGCACCGGCAACGACCTGGCCCGGGCGCTGGGCTGGGGAGGGGTGAGTCGCCCGCTTACAGTGCCCCAGCGCACAGTGGGCCAGAAGACCGGTGGAGGCGGCCGAAACTCCAGACGCGTTTTGAGCTCCAGAGTCGCTCAACAGGCCTCGAGCCGAACGCGTGACCCCACCAATGGATTCCTCGTTCGGAGAGCAATCCATTGGTGGGGTCACACGTTCGGTTCGAGTCCTGTTTAGCGACTCTGGAGCTCAAAACGCGTCTAGAGTTTTGGCCGCCTCCACCGGTCTTCTGGCCCACTGTGCAGTGCCCCGCTCGCATTGCTTGTTTCGGTTTGCGGCACCTCGCTCGTGTTACTGCTCCGCAGGGCTACACCGACGAGCCCATCTCCAAGATCCTGTCCAACATCGGCAACAGCGAGACGGTGCTGCTGGACCGCTGGCAGCTCAAGGTGGAGAAGAACGTGGACGCCAAGGACAAGGGGGACGGCAAGGAGCAGCTGCCCCTGTCCGTCGTCAACAACTACTTCTCCATGGGCGTGGACGCGCACATCGCACTCGAGTTCCACGAGGCCAGAGGTTCGTGTCGGGCCGACGTCAGTGGGCCAGAAGACCGGCGGAGGTGGCCAAAACTCTGGACGCGTTTTGATCTCCAGAGTCGCTAAACAGGACTCGAAGCGACTGTGTGACCCCACTAATGAATTCCTCGTTCGGAGAGCAATCCATTGGTGGGGTCTCACGCTCGGTTTGAGTCCCATTTAGCGACTCTGGAGCTCAAAACGCGTCCGGTCTTCTGACCCACTGTGAACCGCGCGCGGATGCCAAGGCGCAGCAAAGGTGAATTAATTTTGTTGCTTTTTTTTTCACAGAGGCCCACCCGGAGCGCTTCAACTCCCGCCTCCGCAACAAGATGTTCTACGGGCAGATGGGCGGCAAGGACTTGGTGCGGCGGAAGTGGAAGGGGCTGGCCGAGCTGGTGACGCTGGAGTGCGACGGCAAGGACCTGACCCCCAAGCTCAAGGACCACCGCGTGCACGCCGTGGTGTTCCTCAACATCCCCAGCTACGGCGGCGGCACGCACCCCTGGAACCGCGCCTCGGGCATCGAGCAGGCCACGGACGACGGCCTCATCGAGGTGGTGGGGCTCACCACGTACCAGCTGCCGCTGCTGCAGGCCGGCGGCCACGGCACCTGCATCGCGCAGTGCCGCACGGCGCGCATCGTCACGTCCAAGACCATCCCCATGCAGGTGGACGGCGAGGCCTGCAAGCTGGAGCCCTCCGTCATCACGCTGTCGCTGCTCAACCAGGCCACCATGCTGGCCAAGCGGCGCGGCGGCCGGCCCCAGGCGCAGGAGGCGGCGCAGGAGTCGCTCAAGGTCACGGTGCTCAAGATCAGCATGCCCGACTACGAGCAGCACCACTACGACAAGGAGCTGCTCGCGCAGGCCGGTGAGTAGCCCGGCAGTGCAGTGCCCCCCGCGCGGCGCACAGTGGATTTGCCAGAAGACCGGTGGAGGCGGACAAGACTCTCAACGCGTTTTGAGCTCCAGAGTCGCTAAATGGGACCCAAACCGAACGTGTGACCCCACCAATGGATTGCTCTCCGAACGAGAAATCCATTGGTGGGCTCACACGCTCGGTCCCAGGCCTGCTTAGCGTCTCTGGAGCTCAAAACGCGTTCCGAATTTTGTCCGCCGGCGCCGGTCTTCTGGCTCGCTGTGCGGTGAGCCTCGCCAGTGCTCGTTCTGACTTGCTCCGCCTGCCCACTGCAGCCCAGCCCATCGGCGAGCTGGAGACGGGCCCCGCCTCCGACCTGGAGCAAGTGAGGGCCATGATCGGCAAGATGGAGAGCCCCAACATCCCCCCGGACTGGTGCTTCGTGGACTGTGAGTACCTCCTCTCGCGGCCTCGCGCACAGTGGGCCAGAAGACCGGTGGAGGCGGCCAAAACTCTAGACGCGTTTTGAGCTCCAGAGTCGCTAAACAGGACTCGAACCGAACGTGTGACCCCAATGGATTGCTCTCCGAACGAGGAATCCATTGGTGGGGTCACACGCTCGGTTCGAGTCCCATTTAGCGACTCTGGAGCTCAAAACGCGTCCAGAGTTTTGGTCGTCTCGACCGGTCTTCTGGCCCACTGTGTCGCGGCTCGCGGCTCACGGCCCCGGGTTCGAACCCAGCCGAGGTCACCCCGTTCTTCCGCCCCTTCTTTCCACAGCGTGCACGGCGGAGCGGTTCTTCCGCGTGGACCGCGCCCAGGAGCACCTCCACTTCCTGATGGACGTGGCCGCCGAGCAGCTGTTCATCCTGGAGGAGGTGGCGGACGTCGCCGACACGTCGGGCGGTTCCGGCGGCTCGGGCGCCGCGACGAAGGACGTCTCCCGCGAGACCTCGCAGGAGACGTCCCAGGAGATGTCGCAGGAAGTGCTGTCTCCGTCAGACGACCAGTCCACGTCGGACCGGGCTTCACCGGACCCCCTCACCGAGGACAAGGTGAAGGATGCCCGGCCAGCCCGGCCAGCCCGGCCAGGCCGCTGGGGCGTCTACTTTTATTCGTGGAGACGGGGGGAACGCTCCAAATCATCTCAATTATTTATTTCGCTGTCCTTGCAGGAATCCTTTACTACTGTGTCGGCGTCCGCCGCTGCCATGCCTGCCCCCCACGCCCCCCTCCCCCACGCCCCCTCGACCTACACCCCGGTCTACTCCACTGACGGCGTTCCCATCTCAAACACGGACAACGCTGCCGCCGGCTCCAGGTAAAGTAAACTTCCTCTCCTGCGCCGAAAAGGGACCATAACCAAACCAAAACATGGCACTTTTCCGGTTTTATGTGTTTCTACCGCGATGTCCGGTTTTTTATGTCCTGTACTTACTGCTTGTTGGCGATAGGAGATAATTGAATGGTTCATATGTTGGATGTAGAAATCAATGAAGGACAGTGGGCGGACGGTTTGGCATCTGTGTTGTAAGGACTGCTTTAAAAAAAATGCTTCTAAATTTGCCTTGGTTGTAGCAGTACGTAGTAAGAAAATGTGAGCTAAGAAATGGGATTATGTTAGAAATTTATAAAATAGCGAGTAGTCATCCTTTTTTTCTGTACTTGTCAACCTTGACTAGTGTTTGCTATATGTGTACTTAGCCAAAGTTAATGGTGTTCAATAAATGCCTTTATAAATTTTTTTTTTTAAATATTTTTATGAATAAAGGGTTGTTATATATATCTTAGATGTGAGGGAACGGACAAATAGGAAATGTGCTTTGAGCAAAAGTAGTGCCTTATTGTTGAACCCGCATGTAAATGTGCTTTTGATGTCTGAATGTCTGTGCATGGCAGCCGAACGCAACAAAAGTTGTTTGGACTGAACTATGTTAAGTACAGGTGAGTGTATCAAATAAAGAACTCCAATATTAAATTCAGCTGAGATTTTAGCACCAAATACATCACCTTGTACTGTCCTTTTGTTTTACATGTTTTCTTATTTGTTTGTTATCCAGTCATTTACTTGAGAAATCTTCAGAAGACGTCCTCAGAGCTTCACGAGAGAATGATCTAAGAAGGGTAGGAGCTGTTCAATTTTTTTGAGCATCACTATTAAATTGTGTTTACCTTCTAACACTCTCCCTTCATGATTGTCTTCAGCTGAGGGATCTCCATCAGCAAGGCTATTCCATGCTGTCTATCGATGCCGTCGGCCAGACTGCTCTTCACATTTCTGCCAGGGCAGATCATCGTGATATTGTCAAGTACCTGCTAGCAAATGCCCCACCTGCCATTGTCGACATACCAGATACAGAGAGGTGGGTTGCTTTCGTCTACAGTACGTAGGCTTGCATGTCAACGGATGAATTGTCTGAGGTGTATGGTGTATTTGTGGTTTGCAGAGGGCAGACCGCCTTGCAAGTGGCTGCCGCTGGGGGCAGAAGATCAGTGTGCTGCCTGCTAGTGGCTGCTGGGGCTTCCCTCGTCGTCCGGGACCGCCAGGGCCGGACCGCCAAGCAGCTTGCCCTGCAAGCCAATGACTCAGAGCTTGCCCATTACCTTGAAAGTAAGTTTATTTCAGCAAAAGGATGGAATTGCATCCGATTTTATGCTGCCATATCCTCTAAAATATTTTTGTGTAACGTTAAGAAATAATCTTTTCTATAGTATGATGATTGTACCAAATATTAAGGTGCTCATTCATTTTCTTTGTGCATTGCAGGCCAAGAACGCTTTCACCTTGTGACGGAGGATGTTGAAACCATCGTCTAGCAGACTTGTCGTATTCACACCTTTCTCCTGCCCTGCCCCACCCCGCATGAGTAGCCACTGTTCGAGCTGGACGCTGCCCCTGATTGAGCCTCGGTGGGCATGCGGCCTCGGCCATCCTGTTGCATCCTGTACAGCCAGCTGTCCTTAGCAGGCTTTCATCCTTTGCTCGTGTTTTTTGGGTGGAGTGTGGTCTGGTCCGAAGCCCCGGGCCCACCCCTCTCCTCCCTCAACAGCCCTGGTGTGGCATGGCGTTGTTTGGTATGATAAATCTCATCTTACATCCTATTACCATCTTGGATTGCACGTGCAGCGATACCAAGATGTGTCATCTCATTGGACCCGTTTTGTCCCTGCGTTGATGCCAATATGACCAACAAATAGTCTCTAAGACTCAAATAGTCCCTCTAGGAAGACTATGATTTAATTACTTTACTTGTTTTCTAGACCTGTCTTATCTTGCTCTGCCATACTGTTACTGTCTCAAATGTGTTCTGCTTTGTGAACAATGTTTCATGTAAAGAGATAGATTTACCACACTTTGATTGTTATGTCACATTCGGTTATTGTGACAATTCTAGACATCATGTGCGATTGTTTGGTGCATGGTTTTTATTGGAAGTAGTTGAATCTCATTGTAGCAAAAAAAATTATGTGCAAGTTCAGACTTCTTTGTTGTTATTATCAGGCGTCTTTTACTTGCCACTTTTACAGTGATCTTATTTACTAGTGTGATAAGTACTATGTTTTGAATCTTAAATAAATAAATCTATTTTGTGATGCAATAATATAGTATGTCAAAGTCTCTCTAAGTGAAATCAATGTATAAATAATTTTTTCACTTGATGTTCATTAGGTCTTCCATTTGCTCTTGTTTTTTTGAAAAATTCATCTAACTTTTGCATTTGTCTAATTTTGAATTGATAATTTTCTTATTTACATCAGTTAACATTACTTACAGTAGGTCTTCACCTTTTATAGGTAGAAGCTGTACATACCTTTTTCAACCTCAACTCTGTGTAATCAGTAGAAATGTTTGATGAATCTTGAAATTTGCTTGAAGGTGCGCTCTTCTGACTAATCTTTACCTGTTCACTGAGATTTTTATCACTTACTTGTAAAATGTCTTACATTAAATTTGAAATAATGTACACTCCACATTCGTGCATGCCTTGTCTTGTCAACGTTTTGTAAATACCAAGTTTTCATTTTGTTCTTATCTTAAAATTTGCTAGTACCCTGGATGATTGTGTAAGTTTGAGGTCTGTGAAAATGCTGTGAAATCCTGTACTGTATGTACTTTTAATTTTTATTTTAGACCCGACTGCTCCCTTTTTGCATATTGTCACTAAAGATCCCCCCTCCCTTTTTTCTTTATTTGCTATGACAGTGCGGCTCTGATTAGTTAAATTGCATCTATTTTTCTCTTTCTTAAAGAGTACTAAACCACTTTGAAAAGGCTTTCCAGTCTAGGGCATTCATGCTGTCTACATGGAAACAGTTGATTGCATTCAACAACAGTGGTTAACTTTTTTCTCATTATATTTTGAATAATGTCAATTTTTAGTATTTTTTTTCTCATTAACTGTTAATACATTGTACTGTTAAGAAATCTTTCATAAAGTCAAATATGCTAAGGGATTGGCTCTGTAAATATTGTTATTTATAAGGACATTGTAACTTTTACCAAACACATTAATAGGAAATCCTTTTTTGTCTTTTGTTCTTGATTCAGATAATGCCCGTAGCGATGCACTTTCTCTTTGTCCAAAAGCTCTTAGTTGATGTACCTAACTGAGATGCTCAAAGCAATAATAATTCAGCTGTTGTTGTTTTTGTTTGTTCATAAATTTCCAGCATAACTGTGAACCGGCTGTGGCCCTATTAAAGATGAGTAGGTGCAACATAGCTACAAATTGATAGGTGTACTGGTTGTTTAATTTTGTAAGTGCAATATACATCAGTTTTGTTTTGGAAGTTTCTTATGTGGACCACTCTAGTCTTTTGTAGTGCTCTGTTATGGCAAGAAATGCTTTACGTTTTTCTGACAGGGTGTCTGCCTTAAATTTATTTAATGGCTGAGAAGTGATTTTTATCTTCAACTATTTGCTTGTAAGAGTTTTTTTAATAATGTTAGGCAAAAATGTGGAAGGTTTTGCTGTGTCATTTCTTGGAGACGTGTGTTGGCAAATAATGTTGATTAGCACCCAAGTTGGTAGATTGAACCAGCCTTATGATGTTTTAGCTACCATTCTTTTTCATTCTTCTCAAAGGGAATGCTATTCCTTTTGGTAGTTAAAAAGGTGTAGTAAATCAGTCTTTGCTTGGTTAGTCAGGGTACTGATATGATGCCAACCCACAATATTCTCAGAGAAGTGAAACAAAATAATGTCAGCTCATTTCTACATTCATAATGATATTTATTTTTTATCCCTGTAAATATTAAATTATGTTTCATCAGAGATTTCTAGAATTTGTGTTTGTTATAAATGCTTGTCCCCCCTCCCCCTCTCTCTCTCCCCTGTTACAATTAGGAAAAAAAGATGTTTTATGGTAGAGTGATGATAGTGTTGTGGAGGTGTTCTGTGATGTATGTGTAACCTGCATAAGCAAAGCAAAGTTGTGTCCAAGTTGTTGCACCTAAAGTCTTGCTACACCAATACTTTTAATGTATTGCTGCCATCTCCAATCTCTTTTCCTGTTTTGTTTTACTTCTATAGTCGTCTGAGACTGACACATCTTTCCGAGCAATATTAAATGCAAAATATCCTCTTATGTCTCCCTCTATTTTAGTAACTTATTGTAGTAATGAATGATGAATGTATGTACATAACTGATTACTGCTCTTCCTATAAGAATGAATGGACCACTTGTAGTAAAGTAGGCACTCTCACTCTGTCTTTGCAACATTTTGTATGAGCTAAGATTGTGAGCAGTGTATAATGGAATGTTTGGAAAATGCATATCATATCTTTTACAAAACTTATTGTAAATATTGATACATGATACATGACAATCACATATCGTAGATGCATATATTGCTTCAGACGCTGTTGACATTTTCTCTCCCCTCATTTGGATAAAGCCAGAGTTCAGATCTGGCTTTCAACAAGTGATTAGAAATTTAATCCATCGCTGATCCATCCCATGCTAGCAGTCATAGTTGCATTTCTCTCCTTAAAGATGAGTCATTCCATGTTGTTGTTGTTGTTGTTGTTTGTGGCTGTTTGAGACCTTCACAATTTTGCTCAATAGGAATATGTGAAGTTCCCTTGCCACTAGAAAACAGCTAAAGTCAGGAATCTCCAAGCATTGAATAAAAACTTTATGGAATGACTATTCAGTTTGCATGCATGTTCCACATTCCAATTAAATGTATTGAATCTTCATTTTAAAAATTTTCCTCTTTCAAAGAATAATTTATGGTTCAAAATCAAATTTGCATTAGTGTGGAGTTTTTATGTCTGATCGGACTGCACTCAACCATCTTCAATTTAAGTACACATCTGAAAAAAATCCCCCCCTCTTAATTCTTTGCAAAAAAATTACTTTTCTTCAAAAATAGATGATGCATGTCGGTTTGTTAAACTTGTGTGTTTTCAGTCCTGAACAAACCTGGTTGCCACTTTGCAGCCTGATTTCTTGGGGTGAACTTTGACTGAAAACTACCACTATTTTTGGTGAGAAAATGAACAAAAAAAATGTATTAAGTAGTGGTTTTAGTTCACATTTAACAACATTCCAATCCCAAATGTTCTCCTGTATCGTAGCTTCACTCTCACAGTTCTGAAATCCACATCGACACAGTTAAAATCCTCTAAATATTAATTCTATTCGTAAGGGTGTGAGTTGACTCACCAACCCATCTTCTGTACCAAAGAAACTACTAAGGTTTTTGAAGAAATTGTGTCAAAGTTAATGTTATTGTGTTAAGCTATCACATTTGTAAAAATGTATGGAATATACATAAAATATGTGATACAACTGGTGTAACCGTTAATAAAAATTTATGAAAATAATTTTATTTTTTCGTAGTTCCTATTCCCTGACAAGATACCGACGAGTAGCAGCACTCAAAACACAGTTTTCAGGGAGACTAGAACCCCAAAAGTCGGAGCTTACTAAGCTTAGCGCCTTGGAGGTAGGCAAGCCAACGGGCATCTCTGTTTGACGGGTCAGTCTTCCTCGTCCTCTGCAGGCGCTCCTGTTATCTCTCCTTCCATCTGCCTGAAATTATTCTCGCGTGTGAACATGATGAAAGTTGCAGGACCATACTAGTCTTTTTTAAATCTTGCGATGAGAAAAGATTTGAAGCAGCCCCGGGAGGTGGGTGGAAAAGTAGGGGAGGTCCTCTCTCCCCCACTTTCCCTTCTCCCCCTCCCCTGCCTTGCTGTTCCCCCCGTTCCTTCTGCCGACATGTTCGTTCGATGATCTGTTTAGATTCGGTGGTTTAGATTTGGTGTCGTCTGGCATGTGACTTCGTGACTCATGGGTCACATTAACGTCGTTGAACACCTCCTCTTTGCTGCACATCACGCGAGCAAGTAGTCAATCGACGAGTGCAGACAGTCCCATCGAAACAATGTCATGTAAGCCTAAACGGGTCCCGCACGTATGAACGAGCATTTTTCGGAGTTAATAAGACTGCAGACAACATTTTTGCGTCTTTTTAACTCAGCGGAGCATTTTTGTTTAGTACGCCAGTTAGCATCTTTGGAACCAGGGCCTGATAACATGTTTCGGAGAAACATAACCTTACCATTAGTATCATCCTGGCATGGTGTTTGTTTTTGGTTCCTAACCTTCGGATATGTAAGCTTCTCCAATTGATGATGATGTTGCTATACACTATCTGCATTTTTTGATTTCCATTAGCTCTTCTTGCCATTAGCAACAATCCATTAGCAAACTTTCCCATATGATATTTATTTATCACCAAGTTTCAACCCATTTCCCTTCCTTTTAACTTCCCAGAGCACTAAACTTACTATACTGCAAGTGGTTGCATTGACTAATTTGTCCTCTGCATGAAACTCTCAATTCAGTTCTACCCCAGCTCATGTGCCCAGCGTGTCAAGTTACCACGAGAATATAGATGACTATGCCATCAATTCGCACCAACTTGCATGGCTGTAGGCCTCTGCAGGAGTTAGCTGTGCTGAATACAACTGTGTTCTATTTTTCAGCCGGTAAGTTAAGAAGAGAGCGTTCTGGCTCCCGAGAACGCCAGTCTCACAAGGAAGGAGACAAGAGGTAAAAACCACACCAAATAAAAATTGTTTTAAAATTATTATTTGCTGTCTACATTTTAGTAGGCCTCTGGGATGTTCACTTTTCTCATTGTCTTTATATTTGTGCATTTCAGGAGTGATGCTGGTGTCCCTGAGCTGAAGGAAGAGGAATATGATGAGCAGTGGGAGCACGAGTGGGACGACATCAACGAGATCAGCAAGAGTGGCGCAAAGTACTACAAGCCATATGGAAAGAATCCAAATCAGAAGTGGAGGGGCCGCAACCAGTTCCACCATTACAACCAGTATCGTGGCCAAAACCGATTCAACAAGTGGGAGCACAGAAACTATTCTGCAGGTTCTGATCACGGATCAGACAGTAACCGAAGAACTGAAAGACGGCACATCCCTGATGAAGAGGAGAATTTGGAAATGCCACCGGGTGAAGAAATCACGAACCTGAAAGTGAAAATTCAAGATGGAAAGAGATTTGCAGCGCCTGATGAGGTAGAAATAGAATCTTATGAAGACAATAGAAACCGGCCAAGATTTTCAAGAGGGAGAGGTTCCAGGGGTTATCATGGTGGTGGCAGGGATAAGTGGGCCCAGGGAAACAGATTCAAACGGCCAGCAGCAAGTGATTTAGTAGATTGTAGAGAAGTGTTAAATCGGAGAAAGCGGTTCCATGCTGATTCAGAAGGTGATCTCCGTGAAAAACTTCAAAAAAAAGATTCTGACTTAGGTGATCTGAGAGAAGTGATTGATTCTCGTGATCCTGGAGCAATGGATCTGAGAGACTTAATTGAAGCACCTGATATGAGTCTAATGGATGAATTCACAGAGGATGTTGTTGGAGAAGTTGATCTTGAAGAAGACATACGCCTTAGAATTCGAAATGATTACTACCATGATGGTGCTGAAGATGAAAGGTCTGTCAGACATTTTGAAAATGACTTTGAAAGTGATGCTGAACCATATGAATATGAAGATGACCGAGAGCCACTGGACATTCCTCCTGAAGAAAATGTTTTTCGCAATGAAGGCCCGCTACATCAAGAAGAATGGATACAAGGCAAATGGCATCAACGTAGAGGCTCTCCTCCTGAGAAGAGCTTTGAACAACGTGAGGGATGGTCTGGAAGAAACAGGCAAGATTCGTTCCCTGAAGCTGATTGGTCCAGGTCTCGTGTCCCTCATGGCAGCCCCAGAGAAGAACGCCTGAATTCAAGAGACCGTTCTCCAAGATTAGGGGGTAGTCCTCACCGAAGAAATCGGGATCATTCAAGAAACAGAAGTCGTGAGAGGGTGAGAAGTTCACCTGGAAGAGTCCTCAGGGAAAGAAGTTTTGAGCAAGGAATTAGACCAAGGGATTCCAGTTGGGAAAAAAGGTTTGAGCTGATTCCTCATAGGGACAGAGTTCCCCCAGAACAAGAAAGAAGAGGTAGTTTTGAGGATGATAGAAGGGTTTCTGAAAGGAACAGGGACTTCGCTTTTGAAAGAGAAAGGTCATTTCCTCCTAATCACAGTCCTTTACTTGAAACAGAAAGATTGCCTCCTATGCTTGATGCAAGAGGACGAGTGAGAAGCCCTCCCAGAGAAACAAGCAGAGTGAGGGAAAGGAACCACCCAAGAATGAGAAGCATCAGTCCTGTGCCTCCTCATGCCATGATCAGTGAGAGAAACAGAAGAAGTCAAGAGAGGAACAACAGTGTTACATCAGAAAGGGGTAGAGTGACTGGCCGGGACAGGAATAGGAGTGCTGATCGTGAACCTAACAGAGGGAGGATGAGGGAGAGGGACTCGAGTACTGGGCAAGGCAGGAACTGGAATGCCGGCCAAGAAAAGGATAGGAGTATGGAGCGGGTCAGGACTAGAAGTGTGAGCCGGGAAAGAAATAGAAGCTTTGATCGAGACAGGCAAAGAAATTTTGATCAGGTTAGAAATAGAAAGAGGGCTGGGGTTGAGGAGGGTACTAGGAACAGTCGCTGGGCCAGAAGTAGTAGTCGAGAAATGGCTGCTAGACCTGGAAGGGAAATTAACTTGGGCAGGGATAGGGATAGAAGTCCACGTTGGACGGGTCCTAGGACTCCAAGTGCTGAAAGGTTTAGGGCTGCTGTCTGGAACCAGCCAAAAAGTCCTGGACGAAACAGAGAGCTTAGTCCAAACAGCGAACATTCCAGAGGCAGAGGAAGACAATCAGGGATGCCTGCGGATCAGTCAAGAGATCGTAGTAGGGGAAGAGAAGCTGAGGGACGTCCTCGGGAGCAGAAAGACAAGATTCCTTCAAGGTCCAAGGATCAAGATCGTCGAGACAAGGTTCAAGATCAACCTCGAAGAAGGGATTTTGAACATCTCAAGACTCAAGTTATACAGCCAGATAGACCAAGAGAATCCAGCTCAAGCTCAAAGCCTGAGCAGAACCGTAAAAGGGAACATGAAGAGAACTCAAGTAAATCATCAAGGGATCGTCTAAGAAGCCAAGAACATCGCAATTTACAAGAAAAATGTGGAAAGAGAACTACTCAATTTCCTGTTGAAGAGTTTAAACAAAGATTTGTAAGAGAGATTGAGAAACCTGAGAAATCTGTTAGAAGAGATGAATTTGTGGGTAAACACGGAAGAAGTGACTCAGTCCAAGCTAAAAAGCAGGGCAGTGGTTTTAATGATAATGACTCTAGGGAATGGGAGAATATTCGAGATTTTCAAGAAAGAAGAACTGCTCAGCCATTAATAGATCTCCCATTCCTTGATGAAGCAAGAAGACAGAGGCAGAATTCATCCCGTGAAGAAACTAGACCACAAGAAAGCCGTAGTTCAAGAAGCATGGCTGCCCCATTTCTGCCTAGAAACCAAAATGAAAATCGCTTGTCGCAGTCTCAGAAAAAGGATGAGGCTGGGAATTGGCAAAGTCAGAATGCCAAACACTCGTTGAGTCACCCTGAAGAGGAAAGGCGTAGATCTTCCCGTTGGGGAAGTCCAGGCCGGAGAGAAAAAGCCTCTAATCACTTTGATAGTCACAAGTCGACTGCCCATTCCTCCCAGAGTTCAGCAAACCCACATCATCCGACGTCGAACGGGAAAGCCGAAGACGGCCACTGGCAGAGGAGCAGAGACCTTCCTTCACATGGCGAGTCTCAATGGAACAAGCCTCGGTCTGACCTGTAAGTTCTATCATTGCTGTGTTCTATCAAAAGTGTTCTATTGCATCCTCATGGGCATCGAGTATAGGTTTTGCATGTTCTCTCTCAGGTTTAAGTGTAAATCAGGAGCAACAGTCATCACTAATGTTATTGTTCAGCAGCTTGAGATCACTTCATGACTTATCCGCCATAAAATGTGCTAATTGAGAAGTAATTAGCCAACCTTTGGGATATGAAGAGAGGATACTAGTACTACAGTTATCCTCACAAACAGCTGAATGGCAGCTTCAATCACCCAATTTTATTATTAGTGGAGCTCTGATTTGGTTTGGTTTTATACATCAAGCATGAAGCTCATTATGCCTCTCAGGGAGTTTAGATGGAGCTATGCACCTAATGGCATCATAATCCCAGCTATTGCATCCTTGCCACAGACCTGCAAGCCTCAAGGATCCAGAGGGACATCCAAGCCTTGTGTCGGTGTGTTTATCTGATAACTAACCCACCTTTTTTTGTTTTTGTTTTTCCTCTAGATCAAGCAAGTCGAGGGACTCCACCACCTTCAGGCCATTCCCTCCCAAGAGTCTTCTGTCTCCCAGAGAGGTGATATTTATCCGTGGACTAGCAAGAGACGTCTCAGATATGGATGTAAGGAAGGATATCAGCAACTGTGGACTTTGGGCGAAAGATGTTCGTGTCGTGTATGATACTGATACAGGTAAAGAAACTAAATTTGTCCCTTATTATATTTTGTAGTTTTAGGTTTATATTCTATAGTCTGTTCCTCCCTGTAATTTATTTTATTCCAACAAAGGTGTATCAAGAGGCCTAGCATTTGTCACTTTCAATTCAGTCGATGAGGCCACACGGTGGATGGACTTGAGGAATGTAAGTTTTATATAAATATGTGTTCCAGTTTTCTCTGTTACAATAATGAAGTCATTACAAATTTTAATAATATTTTCTTTAACCTTAGGGTGTTCTTAACCTTCGCCCCAACAATCATGCAGCAATGGATTATAGCAACCCAGTGTCCAAAGACTGGGAGTGTGTCCGAGTAAGTAAATTTATCATTGGAAATCATCAGATGGTCCCATGTGCTAGTCCATAACAGAGATTAGAGCATACTGCCACAACTAGCACATAGGATAGGACCAGACAAGTAACATCTGCTTCCATGAACGTTCCTTCAATGGAGATTTCTTAAATTGTTGGACAGCTAATGAATTCTGGGTTTCGTATTTCAGTGTCATACTACTAACTTCAAGAACAGATCTGCCTGTTATCAATGTAATAGATCCAAAGACGACTGTCTTGATGGATGGGAAGAAACCTGCCCATATCCCACTAATGGTAGGTGTATAGCCCAATAAATTTTAAATGTACAACACGTAAGAAAAAAATTACTGAAAATTGTTGTAAAATTGTTTCTAGCTCTTCTCTTGCGAGGATTGAATCCCCTGACCAGTACTTCAGAAGTCATGAAGGCTTTGAAAGGTCGAATGCAGGCACATTCAAGAATAGACAGTGTGAAGATGGGAGTCGATATGAAGGGCCGACCCCGTTCTGTGTGCTTTGTTCAGTTGACAAGTGTCGTTGACTCAATGTGTCTTCACAAATCAATTGTGACTGAACCTCTAATGATTGACAACAACTTAGGTATGTGAAACCTTTCCAACAGTGTAGTTAAGGTATCTGTGTTGTTTGTGAGCTTAGCTTCTAATTTGTAACATGCTCTTCCCCTGTTCTTTTTCTACAGTGATGGTTGCATATTGCCAACTGGACAAGTTGCCTCCAATGGACTCTCACCCTGGCCAACTGCACCCTGGCTTGCCCACAGTCCATTCGGTGGCCCCTCCCTCCATTCCCCTCTCACTGCACACGGGTCCTCCATCGAGCAACAATATTCCAGTTGTACCAAGGACAGTCCCGCCAGCTGCCCCGCCTGCTCCTGTCCACATGCCTGCTCCAACACCTGCACCCCCAGCCAAGCCTGCACCAATATCAACAACCGCCATACGCTCCATGCTTGAGGGCAATTATTCCGAGAAGGACATCCCTACACTCGCCCAATATTGTGCCTCAGCTTATGCTAAGAATCCCCAAGAACAAGCTGCCTATGTGCGCTACTATACCAAACTCTACAGGGAGAAACTTCTCAAGGTATGATTTCTCTTTTCAACTTGGTGAGTGCTTCTGATTTAGTTTTTGAAAATTCATCCTTTTTATATTTTTTTTATTGTGTGTTACAGAATCAGGCGGGTGGAAAGTAATTCTTAAGGAAGTCAGATATAATAAAGTTACCTGGTTCTCATTGACGTGGACCATAATATAGTTTATCTGTTTATTTTGTTTGACAAAAATTAATTTGTAATCATTTATTTGGATACGTAATTGAAGCACAAAAGAATTACTCACTGTACTATGTTGTTTAAAATTCCTTTGAGAAGTGTAACTCTATCACACCTCTGTTTTATTTTATTGTCACTATTTTTATGGTAGGTATTCTTTTGTATGGTTTGCTCAAGTTTAATCACTTGCTTAGTCAGTCATTTGCCATCACCAATCACTTGAAGTTGAAATTGATTTCACTGCCACTAGATGGGTACTGGCCTTCCTGATTGAGGTGCAGTGTCAGTTTTAACTGGTAATTAGCAATGACCTAACATACCATCATCAATTTGAAAAAAAAAGTTCTTTTTAAAAGTTTTGTACTTTTTGACACAAGTGTTTGTTTTGTTTCTATAGTCTTTGCTTTGCCAAACAGTGTGATGTGATAGCACATATGTTTGTTAAATCCTATGCTAATTTTAATTTGCAAGTTTGATTTAAAAATTCTGTTGAAATAAATTACCCTTGTAATCTTGTGATTGACTTTCGAATTAAACTTTTTTTCAATTGATTGGGTATTTTATTAACCCTGAGTCATATTCTAGAATAAATATGTTATGTACATTTTTAACAGTGACAATGCACATGCCACAAATGCAGTCATTTTAAAAACAATAATTTTTGACTAGAATACAAAGTTGCTCTCTAGAGTCTGCAAGTGGCAATGTTATGAAAGTTGATTTTCTTAAATCTAGTCACAAGTCTTCATGCATATCACAACGTAACCCTGATAGGGAATGAGTCCCTCTCCACTCCGCTCCACTCACGTCCTCTTGAACACTTTAACGGAGGGCGCCACGATGGCGGCGAAGGCCTGGATGATGCCCGAGGTGACCGGGTTGCTGGCCTGCAGCGCCTGCCACTCGTCCGAGTCCGCCACGGCCCGCCAGCCCGCCGCCACCAGACGGCACAGGCGGTTCTTGATGGCCGGGGTCACCACGGGCCACTTGTCGGCCTCCATGAGCAGGCTGAGGGCGCGCGGCCCGTCCAGCCCCCACAGGCACATCTCGCAGCGCGCCTTGAGCCGCTCCACCTGCAGCGAGGGCCAAGGCAATGCATTCACTGCACTTCCACGCACACCACTCGCAGTGGGCCAGAAGAGCGGTGGAGGCGGCCAAAAGTCTAGACGCGTGCAGAGCTCCAGAGTCGCTAAACAGGACTCGAACCGAACGTGTGACCCCACCAATGGATTCCTCGTTCGGAGAGCAATCCATCGGTGGGGTCACACGTTCGGTTCGAGTCCTATTTAGTGACTCTGGAGCTCAAAACGAGTCTAGAGTTTTGGCCACCTCCACCGGTCTCCTGGCCCACTGTGCCACTGCACACTTTCAGCGACTAAAATACTGATCACTTGTACCAACCTGGTAACGCTCTGACAAGTCCAAGAGCTCGAGCTCACACCCGTCCCAACTGGCAATATCTTCGGTGTAAAGGAAGTCCAAGAACCTCCCAAAGGCCTCTTTGGATGCGCCTTCAATTATAACGGTCTCAGCAGTTTTCTCTTTGAACTCCCCAGTAAACATGGCCTGGGACAAAACAGGAATACATAATCAATGGCAATGGTCCCAGTACTTACTCTCTTCAGCCTCCGATGCCCCTCACCATGAAGACACTGCTAGTTGCACTGAGAACAGCTTTGTGAGCAGGATATACATGGCCATCCACTCGGAGTTGTACGTCACAGAGAGAAGAACCAGACTTCCGGGCTAAATTTAAACTGTTTATTAGGGAGTCTGTGGGAGTGACTCGCCGCCCATAAACCTAGTAAAACATGAGAACCCATTAATTAATCTTTTATAAAAAAAAATCTACTGTCATCTATTTCAAAATTAAGCTGATGATAGTTGAACAGAGTGCTTATCTCAAATTAATAGAATTGAACAAACCTCCAGTCTCACAGTGAAACAGCGTGTTGTGCACTGAGGCATCTGCATTAAAGTGCCCTCAGTAGTGTCCCTGGAGTAGTAGTTATTTCCATTCTTGTCAACAATGTGTACTGAATTCTTCTCTTCAGGCAATGGCCACGTTAGCGGGTTCTGATTGAACGGCTCATTTCCACTCTCTCGCTTCGTCCACAACCCACATGATTTAACCAGCAGTTCTCGCCACGGCTGCTTCAGGCAATTCCTCTGTAAACCAACTTTGATCCACTTGCCAGTGGAGTGGAAGCGAATGCTGAACAACTCGTTGTCGTCATATGTGTCATTCTCATTGGCATGCACTGGGAATGGACCAAAGAAGTCGACGCGTTCCTTGTACGGATCAAGCATCCTAATGACGTCCCAGGGAACAAAACATTCTGCAGCGATCACGGGCTCCCACAGTTTACGATCATTCACACAAGGCTGGCAAGAATTTGAATCCACAGCCACAGCCATTGCTCAGGGGAATACTGCTGATGCTCCTGTCAAAAAAGCAAGCTAGGGACTAATGTGAGTTATTGAAAAAAATTCATGATGTTGAAACAGGCTTAAGAGAATCAAAATAGAAACACAAATATAACACCATGGACATTTTTCGTAATTGACTCAACTGAAATAAGCGAGAGATAGAAGAATGACTCGAGGTTATAGTGCCCCATGCAGTAGCAGTAAAACTTTTATTTTTAATACATAAAACAAAATGAACAACACCCAAAACAGGATAGCAACGACAAAATTAAGTCTCAATCAGATCGTACCGACGCCTCACCTCAAATAAATCCAGAAGTTCCCATGTAAACCCGAATCACTATGATCGTCTGTTTGCTGTTTGTTTTTGTTTGTGCGAGGTGGGCGACAGGGGAGGGGGGAGAAGGGGAGAAGGGGGAAACAGACATGAAAAATTCAGCGCTCATAAGTTCCGTCAGAGAGGGGGAATGCCAGAAACTGCAGCCAGAAAAACAAGCGTCTCGACTGGAGACCCTCCCGTCTCTAGTCTCGACCGGTGTCGTGTCGTGAGCAGGGCTTTTCAAGGTTCTCAAACTTTGACCCTAACTTCAAGAAGTCTGCAAATCGACGACGTTGACATCATGTACGATGTGAAAAAAAAAACGTTAACGCTAACGCTAACGTGAAAGCAGATGATACTTATGAGAATGTTTATTGAAATGTATGAATGTGACATTTTGTCTCTTTCTTTCAAAGAGTAAACACTCGGAACTCTTTTTTTTGACAAATTTCCTACACATGGTAATTCATGAAAATGTCAATTTTAGTATAACTTTTGAATATCCTAACGTGCCATTGTTTTGCGTTAAACATGTTCGCAATGACGGTGGGACACTCATATGTCCGATACCACTTGTGTTGGGTATCATTTTCGTTGTTTCAACGCGAGGATGCACAATTTGGTGGCCAATCACATAAATACTCAATACCCGTAAAAGTTGTGTTCGGTACTAGGGCAATGCGCCTTGCGGCCTGCGGCGTGTCAGCCACATCTCCAAGCGGGGCCGGCCGGCCGGCGCGCCACCCGCACCCGACCTCAAGATAGATAAGCAAGAGTTGCGCCTGCCGCGCCGCTTCTCGAGAGGGGCAGGGGTTCGGGGGGCGCTGCACTACGCGTTCTACGCACTCAAGGCTCAAGTGCGTGTGTGTGTAGACTGCTGCGGGGCGTGGCGGGGCGCGGCGGGACGTGGCGTCTCGGCAAGGGAATGGGCGAGGTGGGCAGCTACGCGATGCGTGCTAGCAGCGCCTCGTGACGACGCGCAACGCGAGAGACGCACTTCTTGAGTACTAGAGAGCTGGGTGTCGAGGTCATACGACGCGCGCGCAACCCGAGCCCCCGCAGCCGCCCCGATTCATGGTGCGGCGCGCGGCACGGCGCGGCGCGGCGCGGCAGACGGCAGACTGCGGGCCCTCCGCTCATAATCTTCTAGGCAGGCCAGCCAGCCGCTGCCTTGCCAGCGAGGCGCTCGGCCTCTTCTAGGCTTGCTAGTCAGGCAACGAGGCAACTGCTACCTGGCTAGCCGGAAACTCGGTACTCTCTGCACGAGAGTACAAGCACGCTGATACGTGAACGTATCATCTGCTAAAAAGCCATCGCGTTAATTCGCGGAGAGAAGAAAACAAAACTTCTGATCCGGCCAAATTTGACTTCTTACTAGCCAGATTTTGGCAGATAGGCAATTTGCTGCACATGCCACCTGAAACGTCAAAAACGTGCAGCTTCACAGCAGCCCCCGCTTGAAAATGAACAAGAGGAAAGCGCGCAAATCCTTGGCGACTGCAAGCATGGGCCGAAGGAAGAGTTGTGCCAGCAACGTGCACACTTCGTGCACACTTCGAGCACACTTTGTGCGCTGGCCGGCGCAGCATGCACCGCTCCGCCTGCCGCTTGCGCCTGGCTTGCGGTCGGGACGTGCACGCCATGCGGCCGCATGCGGCGGAGCAGGCGGAGCGGGCGCTGCACCGCACAGTGGGCCAGAAGACCGGTGGAGGCGAACAAAACTCTAGACGCGTTTTGAGCTCCAGAGTCGCTAAATGGGACTCGAATCGAGGGTGTGACCCCACCAACGGATTCCTCGTTCGGAGAGCAGTCCATTGGTGGGGTCACACGTTCGGTTCGAGTCCCATTTAGCGACTCTGGAGCTCAAAACGCGTCTAGAGTTTGGACCGCCTCCACCGGTCTTCTGGCCCACTGTGGACCGGGCCGTGCAGTCGCTCCGCCTCTCTCGCGCCCCCGCGGAACACACGGAGCGCCCCGCCAGTGCGACAGAGACGCGCAGCGACGCGCAGACGACGCAGAGGATGGGAGTCGGCCGGCCCTAATTGCGTCTGCAAATAGATTTGCGGTCGGCTATAGACAGCCGCGAGACGGGGCGGGGTGGGGCGCGGCGGCGGCGGCAGATTTATTGCGTGTTGCTAATGTTGATGGCAGCGCCGCGGCTGAGTGGCGGCAAGACTCTGCGAATAATGGATTTGGCATTAAGGACAGCAAGACAGCGGCGTGGCTAGCGTGGCTCGGGTGCATGCACCTGGCAAACAGACACTACACTGCTAGCAAAAAAAAATAATTCGCAATTAAAACTTTGAAAAATCTTGAGAAATTTCTTTCTGTTTTGCGAGGTTTGATTGCGTTGTTGGGCCTGGCGCGCTGTGTTGTCGCAGACAGGACGTGAACTGGAAATCCGTCGTCTGCAGTGGGGCGGTCGAGCGCCCGGCAGGGCGGGCACGTCTGCGACACGGCGGTGTTGGGCGGGCTGGCCTGCCGTGCCGGTTTGGCGGCAAAAATTCGAGACGCGTTTTGAGCTCCAGAGTCGCTAAATGGGAGTCAAACCGAACGTGTGACCCCTCCAATGGAGTCCTTGTTCGAAGAGTATTCCATTGGTGGGGTCACACGTTCGGTTCGAGTCCCATTTAGCGACTCTGGAGCCGGGATTTTGACCGCCTCCACCGGTCTTCTGGCCCACTGTGCGATCGAGTTCGAGAGGTCGACTCCCTTGTTTTGACGCTGTTTTCTCCGTCCATTCATTCATTCCTGTGAAAGGGGGCAGGCAGGAGCGCGTTATCGTCGCGTTATCGTCGCGTTGTCGCGACATCGGCGGCGTCTGATGCAAGTCGAAAATCGGGCGCAGGCCTGGTGGCCCGGCCCGGCAGCCCAAATCGCGCGGGCCTGTGTTTGTTATCGTGTTTGTGCAATCTAGGCATCAGGCTCGTCACGGCGCGGCGCGGCGCGGCGCGGCACGGTGCATCGCGGGCCAGGAAGTCGGCTGACCTTCCAACAAACGTAAACAAGTTGACACTGCCAAGCCAGGGAAGGATTCGGCGCGGCGCGTCGCTCTGTCTCTCTCGCACCCACACGGCACGCTCCACGGGTGCGAGAGAGACAGAGCGACGACTCTCGGAGTCAGTCTGCAGACGGCGTGGTGCTCGCAACAACAGGCATGCCGTGGACTTCGCACCCGCCGGCACCGCCGTGGCACTGCACTGCAACCTGAAACGCACCGAATCATACACTGTACACACGCAATGACGCGTAATCACCGGCACACTGCAACAACAGGGCAGCGGCGACAGGATCGTTGCGCTTCCAAGATTACGACATTGCACAGTGGGCCAGAAGACCGGCGCCAGCGGCCAAAACTCTAGACGCGTTTTGAGCTAGAGTCGCTAAATGGGACTCGAACCGAACGTGTTGCCCCACCAATGAACTCCTCGTTCGGAGAGCAATCCAGTGTGGGGTCACACGTGCGGTTCGAGTCCTGCTTAGCGACTCTGGAGCTCAAAACGCATCTAGGGCTTTGGCCGCCTCCACCGGTCTTCTGGCCCACTGTGCATTGTGGCGTGTATGTGTGACGCGCACTACTAAGTCTCGCGTTATGCATAGCAGGACGGGAGCAGTCACTGGTGAAAACCTCCTGCCGAACGGCAAACTCCTGTTTGTGCGACGACGCTCTGAACGAGGCTGTGTGCGTGAGCGCGCGTGTGTGTGGGCGGAGCACAGCGGAGCACAGCGGAGCATCGGAAAAGCCTACTGCGCGCAAAGAGACAGGAAAAATAAAAAACGAATCGGCGGCTGCCTTCCGTCCACGCGGCCGCACGCGGGCCGTGGAGGAGGGAGTGCGACGGAGACAGACCGGGAAAAAACAGGGACGCCGATAACACCGTTTTCGCGCGCAGCTCTGCGTGACATTGGCCCTGGTGCGCTCGTGTGTGTGTGTGTGTGTGTGTGTGTGTGTGTGTGTGTGTGCGTGTGTGTGTGTGTCGGTGTGTGTGTGTGTGCGCGTGCGAGTGCGTGTGTGTTGGTGAGGCCCGAGGGGCTGCCCACTTTTCAGCGGAAGCCACTCTTGTTTTGATTTCTTCGGGGGCCTTGCCTCGCCTTGCCGCCTGGCGCACAGTGGGCCAGAAGACCGGTGGAGGCGGCCCCAACTCTGGACGCGTTTGGAGCTCCAGAGTCGCTGAATGGGACTCGAACCGAACGTGTGACCCTCACCAATGGATTGCTCTCCGAACGAGGAATCCATTGGTGGGGTCACACGTTCGATTCGAGTCCCTTTTAGCGACTCTGGAGCTCAAAACGCGTCTAGAGTTTTGGCCGCCTCCCCCGGTCTTCTGGCCCACTGTGTGGCGGCGCGGCAGGAAGGCGGCAGGAAGGCGCGGGAAGGCGGAGGGAAGCTCACACGCAGTTCCGAGGCCGGCCGCTAGATGGCGCCGGCCGCCCCGCGCACCGCACGCCGCGCAGCCGCGGACTCTGTCCACCTGTCCGTGTGAGTGTGCGTGCGAGTGTGAGTGCGTTGTTTACTACATCCTCCGGTATTATTCAGAGTGCGTCTGTCTCTCCCGGGGCCGCGCTGCGAGTGCGAGTGAGACAGACTGAGCCTAGTGTAGGCCGGCCTTGCCGTGCATCATCCCCGACCTGACGGCGTCCTCGCGCCACCGCCACCACCACCGGCACCACCGGCACGCGGCGGGTGAATGACACTCCGCCCCGCCCCGCCCCGCCCTGCAGCGAGAAACTGTTCCCGACGCTCGGAAGCAGCCGAAGCAGCCCCCGATGAAGGCGAACGAGTTCTGGGACCACCGGCGTCGAGAGTCGCGGGACGTACGAACGGAACCGGCGCGTTCCTCCGGCGAATGAATGCAAGCTTGACGCCGTCTGCGCGCGCTGCGCGTGCCGCGCGGAGCGCGAGGGGTACCTCACTTCGAAAACAGGTGTACACTGACTGGTGACTATACTCAATTTCCACTTTGACTAGACTGAAAATATCACGAAATGCGTTGCAAAAATACTAAAATTGGGACAAATTTACGTGGTTTTGCCGACTTTTTCAGTGACTAGACTGAAACAAGGCAGTGACTGGAGTCAGGGGTGTACACT